CACCACTGTACCCTTTATTTCTAACATAAACGTGTAATTTTTCCTTATATGTTTAATCTCCCTGTCCACTTACTTCAATATACTTCAAAAGCAAAGAAGACAAATAATGTTGCAGATCCAACAATGTTTCTTGATTGGTCCTACGTGACAGGTCCAATATGACTGGTCCTCTTCCAGAAGACATCTCTACAATCAGGACATGCTCTGGGGAAACAGAAAACAAGAGACAACTAATGTACTTCCCCGAAACAGGAAGTCATTACAGCTTGATTTCTAAGCTTAGGCCCCAAACTCATTCAATTTCAGTTTCCCCCACAAAGCAAGAATTAGGAACACAATTTTATGAAGGTATTCTAGGAAAATAGAAAACAGAAGAAAACTGAGGAACTTCCCTAAAATGAAACTCTTTACAGTCTGACTTTTAGTCTTTCCCCGCTACTCGGGCAATTTTCGTTTCGCAATAGAGCTAGGTTTCCGCTGAGTACAGCGCTTGTGGAAAAATACGAGGTCATGAGGAAGGTAGGGCACTCTCAAGAAACAGATCCCTCCGTAGGAGCGCCAAGTTAAAGAAACCGAAATATGGAAACATTTCAGAACATGCGTTGCCGTAATTTCTCACAGAAAACTGTAGTTTTTCCCACGCATAATAATACTCTCCACTCACATCAACGTACTTGAAAAGCAAAGAAGACAAATAACCTAGCCATTCTCACCTTATCTCTTGGCTGGTCCTGCATGACTCGAGGATCTTCCAGAATACATCTCTTGAAACACCATGTACTCTGAGAAAACAGAAAGCGGGAGAAAACTACTGTAGCTCCCACAAAAAAGGCAGTCTTTACACCTCGATTTCTACCCTTTAGCCGCAACTCGCTCAAGTTAACTTGCACTCTCCCTCGAGCCGCAGAATTTAGAGCTAGGTTTTAACGGAGAGCGATGCTTGTGGAAAAATACAAGGTCATACGGTAGGTAGGATACCGGGTATGCTCCAGAAAATGGAATATCTACAGATGTCAGAATGTGCGTCACTACCGTTCTAGTTACAACAGAAGGGATCGTATTTTAGCACAGGATTTTCAGTCTTTGGAAAACTTTCCAATTACACCACGCCCAACCCATCTCTACTTCCTCTTTGGACACTGAAACAAAAACTAACCTTCGTGGTCCGTTAGAGACGCTTCCCTTTGGGTCCTCCGCGGCTGGTCCTCTGCCAGGAAGGTGGGGGGGAAGGGCACGAGTCCTCAGCATCGGCTCTCGGAAAAAGAATTCATACAAAGGCATGGGGTTACTAGTCCAAGGTGGTGTTTCTGGCAACTGTTACCATCAAGCCTAGCCTTCCATGAGTGGACTTTGAAATGTCTACAAGAAAACTGCATCTGCTTTAGCCTCGTAGTAAAGTCTTTGTATTTTACGCAGAGCAGGTCGCGAGCCAAAGCTAACAATCTTCACCTCTTCACGTTCTGCAGGCAGCAGCTTGCTAAATTTAGGTGCTGTCTCTGCCTGCTGTACTGTAGATGCACAACAATTCTATTTCATCAATGACTGCAGCTTGCTGAGATTAGGGGCTTATGCAGTCAATTCCAAAGCAACACAAGATTGGCTTCAAGTTTACTCATAGGCTAGATTATTGGCACTGCCACTTACCATCAATTAAGTCATCATTTCAAAATTTTATAGTTTCAAACCTCTCAAGTTAAGAGAATTCTATTATTCTTTTGCGACATTTTAAACACCCGACAAGCTGTGGAGAAAATTTGCATGCAAATTTCAGCGAAGTTCAAAAACAACGATGGGCCAACTTACAAGGCCAGCTCAAACAGGAAAAAGGAGAAATGTTGAACTTCGCAAAGGGAAATGAAACCAACAGTGTCTGAAATACTCACCACGACAGTCATTGCCAGAATACATATTATGTTATTCAATACGTCGACAAGATAACCGCCTATCTTTCACTTGCATAGTGTCAGCTACAGTAGTTCCCATCCACCCCCTCCCCTCCGATCACAGACCAATCTTCATCTACTGCGGTTTTATAGTGGGCAGCAGCTCGCTACTCTTAGGTGCTGTTTCTGCCCACTCTACACATAGCCTATTTCATCAGTGACTGCAGCTTGATAGTCTTAGGGGCTGATCATCAGTCTTCAAAATTATAGCCCTTTAATATTTACCATCAGTTTCACTCATCGCAATGTCAGAAAGATTATTCGTGGGCCTACTGGTCGGCAGCAGCTTGTTTTGTTTAGGTGCTGTCTCTGCCGACTGAAAACTGTGGTATAGCCTATTTCATCAGTGACTGCAGCTTGATAGTCTTAGGGGCTGATCATCAGTCTTCAAAATTATAGCCCTTTAATATTTACCATCAGTTTCACTCATCGCAATGTCAGAAAGATTATTCGTGGGCCTACTGGTCGGCAGCAGCTTGTTTTGTTTAGGTGCTGTCTCTGCCGACTGAAAACTGTGGTATAGCCTATTTCATCAGTGACTGCAGCTTGATAGTCTTAGGGGCTGATCATCAGTCTTCAAAATTATAGCCCTTTAATATTTACCATCAGTTTCACTCATCGCAATGTCAGAAAGATTATTCGTGGGCCTACTGGTCGGCAGCAGCTTGTTTTGTTTAGGTGCTGTCTCTGCCGACTGAAAACTGTGGTATAGCCTATTTCATCAGTGACTGCAGCTTGATAGTCTTAGGGGCTGATCATCAGTCTTCAGTCTTCCAAATTATGGCCCTTTAACATTTACCATCAGTATACTGCAAGAGAAAAGAAGGCAAAGAATATTGCAAGTTTCTCACCTTTTCTCGAGGCTGTTCTTAAAGGACTCGATGCTCTTCCATCCAGAAGAAATCCCTTGACACAAAAGGTATTCTGGGAAAACAGAAAATAGAAGACAACTGAGGAACTTCCCTAAAATGAAACTCTTTACAGTCTGACTTTTAGTCTTTCCCCGCTACTCGGGCAATTTTCGTTTCGCAATAGAGCTAGGTTTCCGCTGAGTACAGCGCTTGTGGAAAAATACGAGGTCATGAGGAAGGTAGGGCACTCTCAAGAAACGGATCCCTCCGTAGGAGCGCCAAGTTAAAGAAACCGAAATATGGAAACATTTCAGAACATGCGTTGCCGTAATTTCTCACAGAAAACTGTAGTTTTTCCCACGCATAATAATACTCTCCACTCACATCAACGTACTTGAAAAGCAAAGAAGACAAATAACCTAGCCATTCTCACCTTTTCTCTTGGCTGGTCCTGCATGACTCGAGGATGTTCCGGAATACATCTCTTGAAACACCATGTACTCTGAGAAAACAGAAAGCGGGAGAAAACTACTGTAGCAGTCTTTACACCTTGATTTCTACGCTTTAGCCGCATCTCGCTCAAGTTAACTTGCACTCTCCCTCCAGCCGCAGAATTAGGAGCTATGTTTTAACGGAGAGCAATGCTTGTGGAAAAATACAAGGTCACACGGTAGGTAGGATACCGGTACGCTCCAGAAAATGGAATATCTACAGACGTCAGAATGTGCGTCACTACCGTTCTAGTTACAACAGAAGGGATCGTATTTTAGCACGGGATTTTCAGTCTTTGGAAAACTTTCCAATTCCACCACACCCAACCCATCTTTTACTTCCTCTTCGGACACTGCAACAAAAACTAACCTTTGTGGTCCGTTAGAGACGCTTCCCTTTGGGTCCTCCGCGGCTGGTAGGGGGAAGGGCATGAGTCCTCAGCATCCGCTCTCGGAAAAAGAATTCATACAAAGGCATGGGGTTACTACCAGTCCAAGGTGGTGTTTCTGGCAACGGTTATGGCCTAGCCTTCCATGAGTGGACTTTGAAATGTCTACAAGAAAACTGCAACTGCTTTAGCCTCGTAGTAATGTCTTTGTATTTTACGCAGAGCAGGTCGCCAGTCAAAGTAAAGCCAACAATCTTCACCTCTTCAGGTTCTGCAGGCAGCAGCTTTCTAAACTTTAGGTGCTGTCTCTGCCTGCTGTACTGTAGATGCACAATTCTATTTCATCATTGACTGCAGCTTGCTGAGATTAGGGGCTTATGCAGTCAATTCCAAAGCAACACAAGATTGGCTTCAAGTTTACTCATAGGCTAGATTATTGGCACTGCCACTTAGCATCAATTAAGTCATCGTTTCAAAATTTTATAGTTTCAAACCTCTCAAGTTAAGAGAATTCTATTATTCTTTTGCGACATTTTAAACACCCGACAAGCTGTGGAGAAAATTTGCATGCAAATTTCAGCGAAGTTCAAAAACAACGATGGGCCAACTTACAAGGCCAGCTCAAACAGGAAAAAGGAGAAATGTTGAACTTCGCAAAGGGAAATGAAACCAACAGTGTCTGAAATACTCACCACGACAGTCATTGCCAGAATACATATTATGTTATTCAATACGTCGACAAGATAACCGCCTATCTTTCACTTGCATAGTGTCAGCTACAGTAGTTCCCATCCACCCCCTCCCCTCCGATCACAGACCAATCTTCATCTACTGCGGTTTTATAGTGGGCAGCAGCTCGCTACTCTTAGGTGCTGTTTCTGCCCACTCTACACATAGCCTATTTCATCAGTGACTGCAGCTTGATAGTCTTAGGGGCTGATCATCAGTCTTCAAAATTATAGCCCTTTAATATTTACCATCAGTTTCACTCATCGCAATGTCAGAAAGATTATTCGTGGGCCTACTGGTCGGCAGCAGCTTGTTTTGTTTAGGTGCTGTCTCTGCCGACTGAAAACTGTGGTATAGCCTATTTCATCAGTGACTGCAGCTTGATAGTCTTAGGGGCTGATCATCAGTCTTCAAAATTATAGCCCTTTAATATTTACCATCAGTTTCACTCATCGCAATGTCAGAAAGATTATTCGTGGGCCTACTGGTCGGCAGCAGCTTGTTTTGTTTAGGTGCTGTCTCTGCCGACTGAAAACTGTGGTATAGCCTATTTCATCAGTGACTGCAGCTTGATAGTCTTAGGGGCTGATCATCAGTCTTCAGTCTTCCAAATTATGGCCCTTTAACATTTACCATCAGTATACTGCAAGAGAAAAGAAGGCAAAGAATATTGCAAGTTTCTCACCTTTTCTCGAGGCTGTTCTTAAAGGACTCGATGCTCTTCCATCCAGAAGAAATCCCTTGACACAAAAGGTATTCTGGGAAAACAGAAAATAGAAGACAACTGAGGAACTTCCCTAAAATGAAACTCTTTACAGTCTGACTTTTAGTCTTTCCCCGCTACTCGGGCAATTTTCGTTTCGCAATAGAGCTAGGTTTCCGCGGAGTACAGCGCTTGTGGAAAAATACGAGGTCATGAGGAAGGTAGGGCACTCTCAAGAAACGGATCCCTCCGTAGGAGCGCCAAGTTAAAGAAACCCAAATATGGAAACATTTCAGAACATGCGTTGCCGTAATTTCTCACAGAAAACTGTAGTTTTTCCCACGCATAATAATACTCTCCACTCACATCAACGTACTTGAAAAGCAAAGAAGACAAATAACCTAGCCATTCTCACCTTTTCTCTTGGCTGGTCCTGCATGACTCGAGGATCTTCCAGAATACATCTCTTGAAACACCATGTACTCTGAGAAAACAGAAAGCGGGAGAAAACTACTGTAGCTCCCACAAAAAAGGCAGTCTTTACACCTCGATTTCTACGCTTTAGCCGCAACTCGCTCAAGTTAACTTGCACTCTCCCTCGAGCCGCAGAATTTAGAGCTAGGTTTTAACGGAGAGCGATGCTTGTGGAAAAATACAAGGTCATACGGTAGGTAGGATACCGGGTATGCTCCAGAAAATGGAATATCTACAGATGTCAGAATGTGCGTCACTACCGTTCTAGTTACAACAGAAGGGATCGTATTTTAGCACAGGATTTTCAGTCTTTGGAAAACTTTCCAATTACACCACGCCCAACCCATCTCTACTTCCTCTTTGGACACTGAAACAAAAACTAACCTTCGTGGTCCGTTAGAGACGCTTCCCTTTGGGTCCTCCGCGGCTGGTCCTCTGCCAGGAAGGTGGGGGGGAAGGGCACGAGTCCTCAGCATCGGCTCTCGGAAAAAGAATTCATACAAAGGCATGGGGTTACTAGTCCAAGGTGGTGTTTCTGGCAACTGTTACCATCAAGCCTAGCCTTCCATGAGTGGACTTTGAAATGTCTACAAGAAAACTGCATCTGCTTTAGCCTCGTAGTAAAGTCTTTGTATTTTACGCAGAGCAGGTCGCGAGCCAAAGCCAACAATCTTCACCTCTTCACGTTCTGCAGGCAGCAGCTTGCTAAATTTAGGTGCTGTCTCTGCCTGCTGTACTGTAGATGCACAACAATTCTATTTCATCAATGACTGCAGCTTGCTGAGATTAGGGGCTTATGCAGTCAATTCCAAAGCAACACAAGATTGGCTTCAAGTTTACTCATAGGCTAGATTATTGGCACTGCCACTTACCATCAATTAAGTCATCATTTCAAAATTTTATAGTTTCAAACCTCTCAAGTTAAGAGAATTCTATTATTCTTTTGCGACATTTTAAACACCCGACAAGCTGTGGAGAAAATTTGCATGCAAATTTCAGCGAAGTTCAAAAACAACGATGGGCCAACTTACATGGCCAGCTCAAACAGGAAAAAGGAGAAATGTTGAACTTCGCAAAGGGAAATGAAACCAACAGTGTCTGAAATACTCACCACGACAGTCATTGCCAGAATACATATTATGTTATTCAATACGTCGACAAGATAACCGCCTATCTTTCACTTGCATAGTGTCAGCTACAGTAGTTCCCATCCACCCCCTCCCCTCCGATCACAGACCAATCTTCATCTACTGCGGTTTTATAGTGGGCAGCAGCTCGCTACTCTTAGGTGCTGTTTCTGCCCACTCTACACATAGCCTATTTCATCAGTGACTGCAGCTTGATAGTCTTAGGGGCTGATCATCAGTCTTCAAAATTATAGCCCTTTAATATTTACCATCAGTTTCACTCATCGCAATGTCAGAAAGATTATTCGTGGGCCTACTGGTCGGCAGCAGCTTGTTTTGTTTAGGTGCTGTCTCTGCCGACTGAAAACTGTGGTATAGCCTATTTCATCAGTGACTGCAGCTTGATAGTCTTAGGGGCTGATCATCAGTCTTCAGTCTTCCAAATTATGGCCCTTTAACATTTACCATCAGTATACTGCAAGAGAAAAGAAGGCAAAGAATATTGCAAGTTTCTCACCTTTTCTCGAGGCTGTTCTTAAAGGACTCGATGCTCTTCCATCCAGAAGAAATCCCTTGACACAAAAGGTATTCTGGGAAAACAGAAAATAGAAGACAACTGAGGAACTTCCCTAAAATGAAACTCTTTACAGTCTGACTTTTAGTCTTTCCCCGCTACTCGGGCAATTTTCGTTTCGCAATAGAGCTAGGTTTCCGCGGAGTACAGCGCTTGTGGAAAAATACGAGGTCATGAGGAAGGTAGGGCACTCTCAAGAAACGGATCCCTCCGTAGGAGCGCCAAGTTAAAGAAACCCAAATATGGAAACATTTCAGAACATGCGTTGCCATAATTTCTCACAGAAAACTGTAGTTTTTCCCACGCATAATAATACTCTCCACTCACATCAACGTACTTGAAAAGCAAAGAAGACAAATAACCTAGCCATTCTCACCTTTTCTCTTGGCTGGTCCTGCATGACTCGAGGATCTTCCAGAATACATCTCTTGAAACACCATGTACTCTGAGAAAACAGAAAGCGGGAGAAAACTACTGTAGCTCCCACAAAAAAGGCAGTCTTTACACCTCGATTTCTACCCTTTAGCCGCAACTCGCTCAAGTTAACTTGCACTCTCCCTCGAGCCGCAGAATTTAGAGCTAGGTTTTAACGGAGAGCGATGCTTGTGGAAAAATACAAGGTCATACGGTAGGTAGGATACCGGGTATGCTCCAGAAAATGGAATATCTACAGATGTCAGAATGTGCGTCACTACCGTTCTAGTTACAACAGAAGGGATCGTATTTTAGCACGGGATTTTCAGTCTTTGGAAAACTTTCCAATTACACCACGCCCAACCCATCTCTACTTCCTCTTTGGACACTGAAACAAAAACTAACCTTCGTGGTCCGTTAGAGACGCTTCCCTTTGGGTCCTCCGCGGCTGGTCCTCTGCCAGGAAGGTGGGGGGGAAGGGCACGAGTCCTCAGCATCGGCTCTCGGAAAAAGAATTCATACAAAGGCATGGGGTTACTAGTCCAAGGTGGTGTTTCTGGCAACTGTTACCATCAAGCCTAGCCTTCCATGAGTGGACTTTGAAATGTCTACAAGAAAACTGCATCTGCTTTAGCCTCGTAGTAAAGTCTTTGTATTTTACGCAGAGCAGGTCGCGAGCCAAAGCCAACAATCTTCACCTCTTCACGTTCTGCAGGCAGCAGCTTGCTAAATTTAGGTGCTGTCTCTGCCTGCTGTACTGTAGATGCACAATTCTATTTCATCAATGACTGCAGCTTGCTGAGATTAGGGGCTTATGCAGTCAATTCCAAAGCAACACAAGATTGGCTTCAAGTTTACTCATAGGCTAGATTATTGGCACTGCCACTTACCATCAATTAAGTCATCATTTTAAAATTTTATAGTTTCAAACCTCTCAAGTTAAGAGAATTCTATTATTCTTTTGCGACATTTTAAACACCCGACAAGCTGTGGAGAAAATTTGCATGCAAATTTCAGCGAAGTTCAAAAACAACGATGGGCCAACTTACAAGGCCAGCTCAAACAGGAAAAAGGAGAAATGTTGAACTTCGCAAAGGGAAATGAAACCAACAGTGTCTGAAATACTCACCACGACAGTCATTGCCAGAATACATATTATGTTATTCAATACGTCGACAAGATAACCGCCTATCTTTCACTTGCATAGTGTCAGCTACAGTAGTTCCCATCCACCCCCTCCCCTCCGATCACAGACCAATCTTCATCTACTGCGGTTTTATAGTGGGCAGCAGCTCGCTACTCTTAGGTGCTGTTTCTGCCCACTCTACACATAGCCTATTTCATCAGTGACTGCAGCTTGATAGTCTTAGGGGCTGATCATCAGTCTTCAAAATTATAGCCCTTTAATATTTACCATCAGTTTCACTCATCGCAATGTCAGAAAGATTATTCGTGGGCCTACTGGTCGGCAGCAGCTTGTTTTGTTTAGGTGCTGTCTCTGCCGACTGAAAACTGTGGTATAGCCTATTTCATCAGTGACTGCAGCTTGATAGTCTTAGGGGCTGATCATCAGTCTTCAGTCTTCCAAATTATGGCCCTTTAACATTTACCATCAGTATACTGCAAGAGAAAAGAAGGCAAAGAATATTGCAAGTTTCTCACCTTTTCTCGAGGCTGTTCTTAAAGGACTCGATGCTCTTCCATCCAGAAGAAATCCCTTGACACAAAAGGTATTCTGGGAAAACAGAAAATAGAAGACAACTGAGGAACTTCCCTAAAATGAAACTCTTTACAGTCTGACTTTTAGTCTTTCCCCGCTACTCGGGCAATTTTCGTTTCGCAATAGAGCTAGGTTTCCGCGGAGTACAGCGCTTGTGGAAAAATACGAGGTCATGAGGAAGGTAGGGCACTCTCAAGAAACGGATCCCTCCGTAGGAGCGCCAAGTTAAAGAAACCCAAATATGGAAACATTTCAGAACATGCGTTGCCGTAATTTCTCACAGAAAACTGTAGTTTTTCCCACGCATAATAATACTCTCCACTCACATCAACGTACTTGAAAAGCAAAGAAGACAAATAACCTAGCCATTCTCACCTTTTCTCTTGGCTGGTCCTGCATGACTCGAGGATCTTCCAGAATACATCTCTTGAAACACCATGTACTCTGAGAAAACAGAAAGCGGGAGAAAACTACTGTAGCTCCCACAAAAAAGGCAGTCTTTACACCTCGATTTCTACGCTTTAGCCGCAACTCGCTCAAGTTAACTTGCACTCTCCCTCGAGCCGCAGAATTTAGAGCTAGGTTTTAACGGAGAGCGATGCTTGTGGAAAAATACAAGGTCATACGGTAGGTAGGATACCGGGTATGCTCCAGAAAATGGAATATCTACAGATGTCAGAATGTGCGTCACTACCGTTCTAGTTACAACAGAAGGGATCGTATTTTAGCACAGGATTTTCAGTCTTTGGAAAACTTTCCAATTACACCACGCCCAACCCATCTCTACTTCCTCTTTGGACACTGAAACAAAAACTAACCTTCGTGGTCCGTTAGAGACGCTTCCCTTTGGGTCCTCCGCGGCTGGTCCTCTGCCAGGAAGGTGGGGGGGAAGGGCACGAGTCCTCAGCATCGGCTCTCGGAAAAAGAATTCATACAAAGGCATGGGGTTACTAGTCCAAGGTGGTGTTTCTGGCAACTGTTACCATCAAGCCTAGCCTTCCATGAGTGGACTTTGAAATGTCTACAAGAAAACTGCATCTGCTTTAGCCTCGTAGTAAAGTCTTTGTATTTTACGCAGAGCAGGTCGCGAGCCAAAGCCAACAATCTTCACCTCTTCACGTTCTGCAGGCAGCAGCTTGCTAAATTTAGGTGCTGTCTCTGCCTGCTGTACTGTAGATGCACAACAATTCTATTTCATCAATGACTGCAGCTTGCTGAGATTAGGGGCTTATGCAGTCAATTCAAAAGCAACACAAGATTGGCTTCAAGTTTACTCATAGGCTAGATTATTGGCACTGCCACTTACCATCAATTAAGTCATCATTTTAAAATTTTATAGTTTCAAACCTCTCAAGTTAAGAGAATTCTATTATTCTTTTGCGACATTTTAAACACCCGACAAGCTGTGGAGAAAATTTGCATGCAAATTTCAGCGAAGTTCAAAAACAACGATGGGCCAACTTACAAGGCCAGCTCAAACAGGAAAAAGGAGAAATGTTGAACTTCGCAAAGGGAAATGAAACCAACAGTGTCTGAAATACTCACCACGACAGTCATTGCCAGAATACATATTATGTTATTCAATACGTCGACAAGATAACCGCCTATCTTTCACTTGCATAGTGTCAGCTACAGTAGTTCCCATCCACCCCCTCCCCTCCGATCACAGACCAATCTTCATCTACTGCGGTTTTATAGTGGGCAGCAGCTCGCTACTCTTAGGTGCTGTTTCTGCCCACTCTACACATAGCCTATTTCATCAGTGACTGCAGCTTGATAGTCTTAGGGGCTGATCATCAGTCTTCAATTATAGCCCTTTAATATTTACCATCAGTTTCACTCATCGCAATGTCAGAAAGATTATTCGTGGGCCTACTGGTCGGCAGCAGCTTGTTTTCTTTAGGTGCTGTCTCTGCCGACTGAAAACTGTGGTATAGCCTATTTCATCAGTGACTGCAGCTTGATAGTCTTAGGGGCTGATCATCAGTCTTCAGTCTTCCAAATTATGGCCCTTTAACATTTACCATCAGTATACTGCAAGAGAAAAGAAGGCAAAGAATATTGCAAGTTTCTCACCTTTTCTCGAGGCTGTTCTTAAAGGACTCGATGCTCTTCCATCCAGAAGAAATCCCTTGACACAAAAGGTATTCTGGGAAAACAGAAAATAGAAGACAACTGAGGAACTTCCCTAAAATGAAACTCTTTACAGTCTGACTTTTAGTCTTTCCCCGCTACTCGGGCAATTTTCGTTTCGCAATAGAGCTAGGTTTCCGCGGAGTACAGCGCTTGTGGAAAAATACGAGGTCATGAGGAAGGTAGGGCACTCTCAAGAAACGGATCCCTCCGTAGGAGCGCCAAGTTAAAGAAACCCAAATATGGAAACATTTCAGAACATGCGTTGCCATAATTTCTCACAGAAAACTGTAGTTTTTCCAACGCATAATAATACTCTCCACTCACATCAACGTACTTGAAAAGCAAAGAAGACAAATAACCTAGCCATTCTCACCTTTTCTCTTGGCTGGTCCTGCATGACTCGAGGATCTTCCAGAATACATCTCTTGAAACACCATGTACTCTGAGAAAACAGAAAGCGGGAGAAAACTACTGTAGCTCCCACAAAAAAGGCAGTCTTTACACCTCGATTTCTACCCTTTAGCCGCAACTCGCTCAAGTTAACTTGCACTCTCCCTCGAGCCGCAGAATTTAGAGCTAGGTTTTAACGGAGAGCGATGCTTGTGGAAAAATACAAGGTCATACGGTAGGTAGGATACCGGGTATGCTCCAGAAAATGGAATATCTACAGATGTCAGAATGTGCGTCACTACCGTTCTAGTTACAACAGAAGGGATCGTATTTTAGCACAGGATTTTCAGTCTTTGGAAAACTTTCCAATTACACCACGCCCAACCCATCTCTACTTCCTCTTTGGACACTGAAACAAAAACTAACCTTCGTGGTCCGTTAGAGACGCTTCCCTTTGGGTCCTCCGCGGCTGGTCCTCTGCCAGGAAGGTGGGGGGGAAGGGCACGAGTCCTCAGCATCGGCTCTCGGAAAAAGAATTCATACAAAGGCATGGGGTTACTAGTCCAAGGTGGTGTTTCTGGCAACTGTTACCATCAAGCCTAGCCTTCCATGAGTGGACTTTGAAATGTCTACAAGAAAACTGCATCTGCTTTAGCCTCGTAGTAAAGTCTTTGTATTTTACGCAGAGCAGGTCGCGAGCCAAAGCCAACAATCTTCACCTCTTCACGTTCTGCAGGCAGCAGCTTGCTAAATTTAGGTGCTGTCTCTGCCTGCTGTACTGTAGATGCACAACAATTCTATTTCATCAATGACTGCAGCTTGCTGAGATTAGGGGCTTATGCAGTCAATTCCAAAGCAACACAAGATTGGCTTCAAGTTTACTCATAGGCTAGATTATTGGCACTGCCACTTACCATCAATTAAGTCATCATTTCAAAATTTTATAGTTTCAAACCTCTCAAGTTAAGAGAATTCTATTATTCTTTTGCGACATTTTAAACACCCGACAAGCTGTGGAGAAAATTTGCATGCAAATTTCAGCGAAGTTCAAAAACAACGATGGGCCAACTTACATGGCCAGCTCAAACAGGAAAAAGGAGAAATGTTGAACTTCGCAAAGGGAAATGAAACCAACAGTGTCTGAAATACTCACCACGACAGTCATTGCCAGAATACATATTATGTTATTCAATACGTCGACAAGATAACCGCCTATCTTTCACTTGCATAGTGTCAGCTACAGTAGTTCCCATCCACCACCTCCCCTCCGATCACAGACCAATCTTCATCTACTGCGGTTTTATAGTGGGCAGCAGCTCGCTACTCTTAGGTGCTGTTTCTGCCCACTCTACACATAGCCTATTTCATCAGTGACTGCAGCTTGATAGTCTTAGGGGCTGATCATCAGTCTTCAATTATAGCCCTTTAATATTTACCATCAGTTTCACTCATCGCAATGTCAGAAAGATTATTCGTGGGCCTACTGGTCGGCAGCAGCTTGTTTTCTTTAGGTGCTGTCTCTGCCGACTGAAAACTGTGGTATAGCCTATTTCATCAGTGACTGCAGCTTGATAGTCTTAGGGGCTGATCATCAGTCTTCAGTCTTCCAAATTATGGCCCTTTAACATTTACCATCAGTATACTGCAAGAGAAAAGAAGGCAAAGAATATTGCAAGTTTCTCACCTTTTCTCGAGGCTGTTCTTAAAGGACTCGATGCTCTTCCATCCAGAAGAAATCCCTTGACACAAAAGGTATTCTGGGAAAACAGAAAATAGAAGACAACTGAGGAACTTCCCTAAAATGAAACTCTTTACAGTCTGACTTTTAGTCTTTCCCCGCTACTCGGGCAATTTTCGTTTCGCAATAGAGCTAGGTTTCCGCGGAGTACAGCGCTTGTGGAAAAATACGAGGTCATGAGGAAGGTAGGGCACTCTCAAGAAACGGATCCCTCCGTAGGAGCGCCAAGTTAAAGAAACCCAAATATGGAAACATTTCAGAACATGCGTTGCCATAATTTCTCACAGAAAACTGTAGTTTTTCCCACGCATAATAATACTCTCCACTCACATCAACGTACTTGAAAAGCAAAGAAGACAAATAACCTAGCCATTCTCACCTTTTCTCTTGGCTGGTCCTGCATGACTCGAGGATCTTCCAGAATACATCTCTTGAAACACCATGTACTCTGAGAAAACAGAAAGCGGGAGAAAACTACTGTAGCTCCCACAAAAAAGGCAGTCTTTACACCTCGATTTCTACCCTTTAGCCGCAACTCACTCAAGTTAACTGGCACTCTCCCTCGAGCCGCAGAATTTAGAGCTAGGTTTTAACGGAGAGCGATGCTTGTGGAAAAATACAAGGTCATACGGTAGGTAGGATACCGGGTATGCTCCAGAAAATGGAATATCTACAGATGTCAGAATGTGCGTCACTACCGTTCTAGTTACAACAGAAGGGATCGTATTTTAGCACGGGATTTTCAGTCTTTGGAAAACTTTCCAATTACACCACGCCCAACCCATCTCTACTTCCTCTTTGGACACTGAAACAAAAACTAACCTTCGTGGTCCGTTAGAGACGCTTCCCTTTGGGTCCTCCGCGGCTGGTCCTCTGCCAGGAAGGTGGGGGGGAAGGGCACGAGTCCTCAGCATCGGCTCTCGGAAAAAGAATTCATACAAAGGCATGGGGTTACTAGTCCAAGGTGGTGTTTCTGGCAACTGTTACCATCAAGCCTAGCCTTCCATGAGTGGACTTTGAAATGTCTACAAGAAAACTGCATCTGCTTTAGCCTCGTAGTAAAGTCTTTGTATTTTACGCAGAGCAGGTCGCGAGCCAAAGCCAACAATCTTCACCTCTTCACGTTCTGCAGGCAGCAGCTTGCTAAATTTAGGTGCTGTCTCTGCCTGCTGTACTGTAGATGCACAACAATTCTATTTCATCAATGACTGCAGCTTGCTGAGATTAGGGGCTTATGCAGTCAATTCCAAAGCAACACAAGATTGGCTTCAAGTTTACTCATAGGCTAGATTATTGGCACTGCCACTTACCATCAATTAAGTCATCATTTCAAAATTTTATAGTTTCAAACCTCTCAAGTTAAGAGAATTCTATTATTCTTTTGCGACATTTTAAACACCCGACAAGCTGTGGAGAAAATTTGCATGCAAATTTCAGCGAAGTTCAAAAACAACGATGGGCCAACTTACATGGCCAGCTCAAACAGGAAAAAGGAGAAATGTTGAACTTCGCAAAGGGAAATGAAACCAACAGTGTCTGAAATACTCACCACGACAGTCATTGCCAGAATACATATTATGTTATTCAATACGTCGACAAGATAACCGCCTATCTTTCACTTGCATAGTGTCAGCTACAGTAGTTCCCATCCACCCCCTCCCCTCCGATCACAGACCAATCTTCATCTACTGCGGTTTTATAGTGGGCAGCAGCTCGCTACTCTTAGGTGCTGTTTCTGCCCACTCTACACATAGCCTATTTCATCAGTGACTGCAGCTTGATAGTCTTAGGGGCTGATCATCAGTCTTCAAAATTATAGCCCTTTAATATTTACCATCAGTTTCACTCATCGCAATGTCAGAAAGATTATTCGTGGGCCTACTGGTCGGCAGCAGCTTGTTTTGTTTAGGTGCTGTCTCTGCCGACTGAAAACTGTGGTATAGCCTATTTCATCAGTGACTGCAGCTTGATAGTCTTAGGGGCTGATCATCAGTCTTCAGTCTTCCAAATTATGGCCCTTTAACATTTACCATCAGTATACTGCAAGAGAAAAGAAGGCAAAGAATATTGCAAGTTTCTCACCTTTTCTCGAGGCTGTTCTTAAAGGACTCGATGCTCTTCCATCCAGAAGAAATCCCTTGACACAAAAGGTATTCTGGGAAAACAGAAAATAGAAGACAACTGAGGAACTTCCCTAAAATGAAACTCTTTACAGTCTGACTTTTAGTCTTTCCCCGCTACTCGGGCAATTTTCGTTTCGCAATAGAGCTAGGTTTCCGCTGAGTACAGCGCTTGTGGAAAAATACGAGGTCATGAGGAAGGTAGGGCACTCTCAAGAAACGGATCCCTCCGTAGGAGCGCCAAGTTAAAGAAACCCAAATATGGAAACATTTCAGAACATGCGTTGCCGTAATTTCTCACAGAAAACTGTAGTTTTTCCCACGCATAATAATACTCTCCACTCACATCAACGTACTTGAAAAGCAAAGAAGACAAATAACCTAGCCATTCTCACCTTTTCTCTTGGCTGGTCCTGCATGACTCGAGGATCTTCCAGAATACATCTCTTGAAACACCATGTACTCTGAGAAAACAGAAAGCGGGAGAAAACTACTGTAGCTCCCACAAAAAAGGCAGTCTTTACACCTCGATTTCTACCCTTTAGCCGCAACTCACTCAAGTTAACTGGCACTCTCCCTCGAGCCGCAGAATTTAGAGCTAGGTTTTAACGGAGAGCGATGCTTGTGGAAAAATACAAGGTCATACGGTAGGTAGGATACCGGGTATGCTCCAGAAAATGGAATATCTACAGATGTCAGAATGTGCGTCACTACCGTTCTAGTTACAACAGAAGGGATCGTATTTTAGCACGGGATTTTCAGTCTTTGGAAAACTTTCCAATTACACCACGCCCAACCCATCTCTACTTCCTCTTTGGACACTGAAACAAAAACTAACCTTCGTGGTCCGTTAGAGACGCTTCCCTTTGGGTCCTCCGCGGCTGGTCCTCTGCCAGGAAGGTGGGGGGGAAGGGCACGAGTCCTCAGCATCGGCTCTCGGAAAAAGAATTCATACAAAGGCATGGGGTTACTAGTCCAAGGTGGTGTTTCTGGCAACTGTTACCATCAAGCCTAGCCTTCCATGAGTGGACTTTGAAATGTCTACTAGAAAACTGCATCTGCTTTAGCCTCGTAGTAAAGTCTTTGTATTTTACGCAGAGCAGGTCGCGAGCCAAAGCCAACAATCTTCACCTCTTCACGTTCTGCAGGCAGCAGCTTGCTAAATTTAGGTGCTGTCTCTGCCTGCTGTACTGTAGATGCACAACAATTCTATTTCATCAATGACTGCAGCTTGCTGAGATTAGGGGCTTATGCAGTCAATTCCAAAGCAACACAAGATTGGCTTCAAGTTTACTCATAGGCTAGATTATTGGCACTGCCACTTACCATCAATTAAGTCATCATTTCAAAATTTTATAGTTTCAAACCTCTCAAGTTAAGAGAATTCTATTATTCTTTTGCGACATTTTAAACACCCGACAAGCTGTGGAGAAAATTTGCATGCAAATTTCAGCGAAGTTCAAAAACAACGATGGGCCAACTTACATGGCCAGCTCAAACAGGAAAAAGGAGAAATGTTGAACTTCGCAAAGGGAAATGAAACCAACAGTGTCTGAAATACTCACCACGACAGTCATTGCCAGAATACATATTATGTTATTCAATACGTCGACAAGATAACCGCCTATCTTTCACTTGCATAGTGTCAGCTACAGTAGTTCCCATCCACCACCTCCCCTCCGATCACAGACCAATCTTCATCTACTGCGGTTTTATAGTGGGCAGCAGCTCGCTACTCTTAGGTGCTGTTTCTGCCCACTCTACACATAGCCTATTTCATCAGTGACTGCAGCTTGATAGTCTTAGGGGCTGATCATCAGTCTTCAATTATAGCCCTTTAATATTTACCATCAGTTTCACTCATCGCAATGTCAGAAAGATTATTCGTGGGCCTACTGGTCGGCAGCAGCTTGTTTTCTTTAGGTGCTGTCTCTGCCGACTGAAAACTGTGGTATAGCCTATTTCATCAGTGACTGCAGCTTGATAGTCTTAGGGGCTGATCATCAGTCTTCAGTCTTCCAAATTATGGCCCTTTAACATTTACCATCAGTATACTGCAAGAGAAAAGAAGGCAAAGAATATTGCAAGTTTCTCACCTTTTCTCGAGGCTGTTCTTAAAGGACTCGATGCTCTTCCATCCAGAAGAAATCCCTTGACACAAAAGGTATTCTGGGAAAACAGAAAATAGAAGACAACTGAGGAACTTCCCTAAAATGAAACTCTTTACAGTCTGACTTTTAGTCTTTCCCCGCTACTCGGGCAATTTTCGTTTCGCAATAGAGCTAGGTTTCCGCGGAGTACAGCGCTTGTGGAAAAATACGAGGTCATGAGGAAGGTAGGGCACTCTCAAGAAACGGATCCCTCCGTAGGAGCGCCAAGTTAAAGAAACCCAAATATGGAAACATTTCAGAACATGCGTTGCCATAATTTCTCACAGAAAACTGTAGTTTTTCCAACGCATAATAATACTCTCCACTCACATCAACGTACTTGAAAAGCAAAGAAGACAAATAACCTAGCCATTCTCACCTTTTCTCTTGGCTGGTCCTGCATGACTCGAGGATCTTCCAGAATACATCTCTTGAAACACCATGTACTCTGAGAAAACAGAAAGCGGGAGAAAACTACTGTAGCTCCCACAAAAAAGGCAGTCTTTACACCTCGATTTCTACCCTTTAGCCGCAACTCGCTCAAGTTAACTTGCACTCTCCCTCGAGCCGCAGAATTTAGAGCTAGGTTTTAACGGAGAGCGATGCTTGTGGAAAAATACAAGGTCATACGGTAGGTAGGATACCGGGTATGCTCCAGAAAATGGAATATCTACAGATGTCAGAATGTGCGTCACTACCGTTCTAGTTACAACAGAAGGGATCGTATTTTAGCACGATATTTTCAGTCTTTGGAAAACTTTCCAATTACACCACGCCCAACCCATCTCTACTTCCTCTTTGGACACTGAAACAAAAACTAACCTTCGTGGTCCGTTAGAGACGCTTCCCTTTGGGTCCTCCGCGGCTGGTCCTCTGCCAGGAAGGTGGGGGGGAAGGGCACGAGTCCTCAGCATCGGCTCTCGGAAAAAGAATTCATACAAAGGCATGGGGTTACTAGTCCAAGGTGGTGTTTCTGGCAACTGTTACCATCAAGCCTAGCCTTCCATGAGTGGACTTTGAAATGTCTACAAGAAAACTGCATCTGCTTTAGCCTCGTAGTAAAGTCTTTGTATTTTACGCAGAGCAGGTCGCGAGCCAAAGCCAACAATCTTCACCTCTTCACGTTCTGCAGGCAGCAGCTTGCTAAATTTAGGTGCTGTCTCTGCCTGCTGTACTGTAGATGCACAACAATTCTATTTCATCAATGACTGCAGCTTGCTGAGATTAGGGGCTTATGCAGTCAATTCCAAAGCAACACAAGATTGGCTTCAAGTTTACTCATAGGCTAGATTATTGGCACTGCCACTTACCATCAATTAAGTCATCATTTCAAAATTTTATAGTTTCAAACCTCTCAAGTTAAGAGAATTCTATTATTCTTTTGCGACATTTTAAACACCCGACAAGCTGTGGAGAAAATTTGCATGCAAATTTCAGCGAAGTTCAAAAACAACGATGGGCCAACTTACATGGCCAGCTCAAACAGGAAAAAGGAGAAATGTTGAACTTCGCAAAGGGAAATGAAACCAACAGTGTCTGAAATACTCACCACGACAGTCATTGCCAGAATACATATTATGTTATTCAATACGTCGACAAGATAACCGCCTATCTTTCACTTGCATAGTGTCAGCTACAGTAGTTCCCATCCACCCCCTCCCCTCCGATCACAGACCAATCTTCATCTACTGCGGTTTTATAGTGGGCAGCAGCTCGCTACTCTTAGGTGCTGTTTCTGCCCACTCTACACATAGCCTATTTCATCAGTGACTGCAGCTTGATAGTCTTAGGGGCTGATCATCAGTCTTCAAAATTATAGCCCTTTAATATTTACCATCAGTTTCACTCATCGCAATGTCAGAAAGATTATTCGTGGGCCTACTGGTCGGCAGCAGCTTGTTTTGTTTAGGTGCTGTCTCTGCCGACTGAAAACTGTGGTATAGCCTATTTCATCAGTGACTGCAGCTTGATAGTCTTAGGGGCTGATCATCAGTCTTCAGTCTTCCAAATTATGGCCCTTTAACATTTACCATCAGTATACTGCAAGAGAAAAGAAGGCAAAGAATATTGCAAGTTTCTCACCTTTTCTCGAGGCTGTTCTTAAAGGACTCGATGCTCTTCCATCCAGAAGAAATCCCTTGACACAAAAGGTATTCTGGGAAAACAGAAAATAGAAGACAACTGAGGAACTTCCCTAAAATGAAACTCTTTACAGTCTGACTTTTAGTCTTTCCCCGCTACTCGGGCAATTTTCGTTTCGCAATAGAGCTAGGTTTCCGCTGAGTACAGCGCTTGTGGAAAAATACGAGGTCATGAGGAAGGTAGGGCACTCTCAAGAAACGGATCCCTCCGTAGGAGCGCCAAGTTAAAGAAACCCAAATATGGAAACATTTCAGAACATGCGTTGCCATAATTTCTCACAGAAAACTGTAGTTTTTCCCACGCATAATAATACTCTCCACTCACATCAACGTACTTGAAAAGCAAAGAAGACAAATAACCTAGCCATTCTCACCTTTTCTCTTGGCTGGTCCTGCATGACTCGAGGATCTTCCAGAATACATCTCTTGAAACACCATGTACTCTGAGAAAACAGAAAGCGGGAGAAAACTACTGTAGCTCCCACAAAAAAGGCAGTCTTTACACCTCGATTTCTACCCTTTAGCCGCAACTCGCTCAAGTTAACTTGCACTCTCCCTCGAGCCGCAGAATTTAGAGCTAGGTTTTAACGGAGAGCGATGCTTGTGGAAAAATACAAGGTCATACGGTAGGTAGGATACCGGGTATGCTCCAGAAAATGGAATATCTACAGATGTCAGAATGTGCGTCACTACCGTTCTAGTTACAACAGAAGGGATCGTATTTTAGCACGATATTTTCAGTCTTTGGAAAACTTTCCAATTACACCACGCCCAACCCATCTCTACTTCCTCTTTGGACACTGAAACAAAAACTAACCTTCGTGGTCCGTTAGAGACGCTTCCCTTTGGGTCCTCCGCGGCTGGTCCTCTGCCAGGAAGGTGGGGGGGAAGGGCACGAGTCCTCAGCATCGGCTCTCGGAAAAAGAATTCATACAAAGGCATGGGGTTACTAGTCCAAGGTGGTGTTTCTGGCAACTGTTACCATCAAGCCTAGCCTTCCATGAGTGGACTTTGAAATGTCTACAAGAAAACTGCATCTGCTTTAGCCTCGTAGTAAAGTCTTTGTATTTTACGCAGAGCAGGTCGCGAGCCAAAGCCAACAATCTTCACCTCTTCACGTTCTGCAGGCAGCAGCTTGCTAAATTTAGGTGCTGTCTCTGCCTGCTGTACTGTAGATGCACAACAATTCTATTTCATCAATGACTGCAGCTTGCTGAGATTAGGGGCTTATGCAGTCAATTCCAAAGCAACACAAGATTGGCTTCAAGTTTACTCATAGGCTAGATTATTGGCACTGCCACTTACCATCAATTAAGTCATCATTTCAAAATTTTATAGTTTCAAACCTCTCAAGTTAAGAGAATTCTATTATTCTTTTGCGACATTTTAAACACCCGACAAGCTGTGGAGAAAATTTGCATGCAAATTTCAGCGAAGTTCAAAAACAACGATGGGCCAACTTACATGGCCAGCTCAAACAGGAAAAAGGAGAAATGTTGAACTTCGCAAAGGGAAATGAAACCAACAGTGTCTGAAATACTCACCACGACAGTCATTGCCAGAATACATATTATGTTATTCAATACATGGACAAGATAACCGCCTATCTTTCACTTGCATAGTGCCAGCTACAGTAGTTCCCATCCACCCCCTCCCCTCTGATCACAGACCAATCTTCATCTACTGCGGTTTTATAGTGGGCAGCAGCTCGCTACTCTTAGGTGCTGTTTCTGCCCACTCTACACATAGCCTATTTCATCAGTGACTGCAGCTTGATAGTCTTAGGGGCTGATCATCAGTCTTCAATTATAGCCCTTTAATATTTACCATCAGTTTCACTCATCGCAATGTCAGAAAGATTATTCGTGGGCCTACTGGTCGGCAGCAGCTTGTTTTGTTTAGGTGCTGTCTCTGCCGACTGAAAACTGTGGTATAGCCTATTTCATCAGTGACTGCAGCTTGATAGTCTTAGGGGCTGATCATCAGTCTTCAGTCTTCCAAATTATGGCCCTTTAACATTTACCATCAGTATACTGCAAGAGAAAAGAAGGCAAAGAATATTGCAAGGTTCTCACCTTTTCTCGAGGCTGTTCTTAAAGGACTCGATGCTCTTCCATCCAGAAGAAATCCCTTGACACAAGAGGTATTCTGGGAAAAACAGAAAATAGAAGACAACTGAGGAACTTCCCTAAAATGAAACTCTTTACAGTATGACTTTTAGTCTTTCCCCGCTACTCGGTCAATTTTCGTTTCGCAATAGAGCTAGGTTTCCGCGGAGTACAGCGCTTGTGGAAAAATACGAGGTCATGAGGAAGGTAGGGCACTCTCAAGAAACGGATCCCTCCGTAGGAGCGCCAAGTTAAAGAAACCCAAATATGGAAACATTTCAGAACATGCGTTGCCATAATTTCTCACAGAAAACTGTAGTTTTTCCCACGCATAATAATACTCTCCACTCACATCAACGTACTTGAAAAGCAAAGAAGACAAATAACCTAGCCATTCTCACCTTTTCTCTTGGCTGGTCCTGCATGACTCGAGGATCTTCCAGAATACATCTCTTGAAACACCATGTACTCTGAGAAAACAGAAAGCGGGAGAAAACTACTGTAGCTCCCACAAAAAAGGCAGTCTTTACACCTCGATTTCTACCCTTTAGCCGCAACTCGCTCAAGTTAACTTGCACTCTCCCTCGAGCCGCAGAATTTAGAGCTAGGTTTTAACGGAGAGCGATGCTTGTGGAAAAATACAAGGTCATACGGTAGGTAGGATACCGGGTATGCTCCAGAAAATGGAATATCTACAGATGTCAGAATGTGCGTCACTACCGTTCTAGTTACAACAGAAGGGATCGTATTTTAGCACGGGATTTTCAGTCTTTGGAAAACTTTCCAATTACACCACGCCCAACCCATCTTCTACTTCCTCTTTGGACACTGAAACAAAAACTAACCTTCGTGGTCCGTTAGAGACGCTTCCCTTTGGGTCCTCCGCGGCTGGTCCTCTGCCAGGAAGGTGGGGGGGAAGGGCACGAGTCCTCAGCATCGGCTCTCGGAAAAAGAATTCATACAAAGGCATGGGGTTACTAGTCCAAGGTGGTGTTTCTGGCAACTGTTACCATCAAGCCTAGCCTTCCATGAGTGGACTTTGAAATGTCTACAAGAAAACTGCATCTGCTTTAGCCTCGTAGTAAAGTCTTTGTATTTTACGCAGAGCAGGTCGCGAGCCAAAGCTAACAATCTTCACCTCTTCACGTTCTGCAGGCAGCAGCTTGCTAAATTTAGGTGCTGTCTCTGCCTGCTGTACTGTAGATGCACAATTCTATTTCATCAATGACTGCAGCTTGCTGAGATTAGGGGCTTATGCAGTCAATTCCAAAGCAACACAAGATTGGCTTCAAGTTTACTCATAGGCTAGATTATTGGCACTGCCACTTACCATCAATTAAGTCATCATTTCAAACTTTTATAGTTTCAAACCTCTCAAGTTAAGAGAATTCTATTATTCTTTTGCGACATTTTAAACACCCGACAAGCTGTGGAGAAAATTTGCATGCAAATTTCAGCGAAGTTCAAAAACAACGATGGGCCAACTTACATGGCCAGCTCAAACAGGAAAAAGGAGAAATGTTGAACTTCGCAAAGGGAAATGAAACCAACAGTGTCTGAAATACTCACCACGACAGTCATTGCCAGAATACATATTATGTTATTCAATACGTCGACAAGATAACCGCCTATCTTTCACTTGCATAGTGTCAGCTACAGTAGTTCCCATCCACCCCCTCCCCTCCGATCACAGACCAATCTTCATCTACTGCGGTTTTATAGTGGGCAGCAGCTCGCTACTCTTAGGTGCTGTTTCTGCCCACTCTACACATAGCCTATTTCATCAGTGACTGCAGCTTGATAGTCTTAGGGGCTGATCATCAGTCTTCAATTATAGCCCTTTAATATTTACCATCAGTTTCACTCATCGCAATGTCAGAAAGATTATTCGTGGGCCTACTGGTCGGCAGCAGCTTGTTTTGTTTAGGTGCTGTCTCTGCCGACTGAAAACTGTGGTATAGCCTATTTCATCAGTGACTGCAGCTTGATAGTCTTAGGGGCTGATCATCAGTCTTCAGTCTTCCAAATTATGGCCCTTTAACATTTACCATCAGTATACTGCAAGAGAAAAGAAGGCAAAGAATATTGCAAGTTTCTCACCTTTTCTCGAGGCTGTTCTTAAAGGACTCGATGCTCTTCCATCCAGAAGAAATCCCTTGACACAAAAGGTATTCTGGGAAAACAGAAAATAGAAGACAACTGAGGAACTTCCCTAAAATGAAACTCTTTACAGTCTGACTTTTAGTCTTTCCCCGCTACTCGGGCAATTTTCGTTTCGCAATAGAGCTAGGTTTCCGCGGAGTACAGCGCTTGTGGAAAAATACGAGGTCATGAGGAAGGTAGGGCACTCTCAAGAAACGGATCCCTCCGTAGGAGCGCCAAGTTAAAGAAACCCAAATATGGAAACATTTCAGAACATGCGTTGCCATAATTTCTCACAGAAAACTGTAGTTTTTCCCACGCATAATAATACTCTCCACTCACATCAACGTACTTGAAAAGCAAAGAAGACAAATAACCTAGCCATTCTCACCTTTTCTCTTGGCTGGTCCTGCATGACTCGAGGATCTTCCAGAATACATCTCTTGAAACACCATGTACTCTGAGAAAACAGAAAGCGGGAGAAAACTACTGTAGCTCCCACAAAAAAGGCAGTCTTTACACCTCGATTTCTACCCTTTAGCCGCAACTCGCTCAAGTTAACTTGCACTCTCCCTCGAGCCGCAGAATTTAGAGCTAGGTTTTAACGGAGAGCGATGCTTGTGGAAAAATACAAGGTCATACGGTAGGTAGGATACCGGGTATGCTCCAGAAAATGGAATATCTACAGATGTCAGAATGTGCGTCACTACCGTTCTAGTTACAACAGAAGGGATCGTATTTTAGCACGGGATTTTCAGTCTTTGGAAAACTTTCCAATTACACCACGCCCAACCCATCTCTACTTCCTCTTTGGACACTGAAACAAAAACTAACCTTCGTGGTCCGTTAGAGACGCTTCCCTTTGGGTCCTCCGCGGCTGGTCCTCTGCCAGGAAGGTGGGGGGGAAGGGCACGAGTCCTCAGCATCGGCTCTCGGAAAAAGAATTCATACAAAGGCATGGGGTTACTAGTCCAAGGTGGTGTTTCTGGCAACTGTTACCATCAAGCCTAGCCTTCCATGAGTGGACTTTGAAATGTCTACAAGAAAACTGCATCTGCTTTAGCCTCGTAGTAAAGTCTTTGTATTTTACGCAGAGCAGGTCCCGAGCCAAAGCTAACAATCTTCACCTCTTCACGTTCTGCAGGCAGCAGCTTGCTAAATTTAGGTGCTGTCTCTGCCTGCTGTACTGTAGATGCACAACAATTCTATTTCATCAATGACTGCAGCTTGCTGAGATTAGGGGCTTATGCAGTCAATTCCAAAGCAACACAAGATTGGCTTCAAGTTTACTCATAGGCTAGATTATTGGCACTGCCACTTACCATCAATTAAGTCATCATTTCAAAATTTTATAGTTTCAAACCTCTCAAGTTAAGAGAATTCTATTATTCTTTTGCGACATTTTAAACACCCGACAAGCTGTGGAGAAAATTTGCATGCAAATTTCAGCGAAGTTCAAAAACAACGATGGGCCAACTTACAAGGCCAGCTCAAACAGGAAAAAGGAGAAATGTTGAACTTCGCAAAGGGAAATGAAACCAACAGTGTCTGAAATACTCACCACGACAGTCATTGCCAGAATACATATTATGTTATTCAATACGTCGACAAGATAACCGCCTATCTTTCACTTGCATAGTGTCAGCTACAGTAGTTCCCATCCACCCCCTCCCCTCCGATCACAGACCAATCTTCATCTACTGCGGTTTTATAGTGGGCAGCAGCTCGCTACTCTTAGGTGCTGTTTCTGCCCACTCTACACATAGCCTATTTCATCAGTGACTGCAGCTTGATAGTCTTAGGGGCTGATCATCAGTCTTCAAAATTATAGCCCTTTAATATTTACCATCAGTTTCACTCATCGCAATGTCAGAAAGATTATTCGTGGGCCTACTGGTCGGCAGCAGCTTGTTTTGTTTAGGTGCTGTCTCTGCCGACTGAAAACTGTGGTATAGCCTATTTCATCAGTGACTGCAGCTTGATAGTCTTAGGGGCTGATCATCAGTCTTCAAAATTATAGCCCTTTAATATTTACCATCAGTTTCACTCCGATGTCAGACCAAGATTCATCTCGTGCGGCCTACTGGTCGGCAGCAGCTTGTTTTGTTTAGGTGCTGTCTCTGCCGACTGAAAACATAGCCTATTTCATCAGTGACTGCAGCTTGATAGTCTTAGGGGCTGATCATCAGTCTTCAAAATTATAGCCCTTTAATATTTACCATCAGTTTCACTCATCGCAATGTCAGAAAGATTATTCGTGGGCCTACTGGTCGGCAGCAGCTTGTTTTGTTTAGGTGCTGTCTCTGCCGACTGAAAACTGTGGTATAGCCTATTTCATCAGTGACTGCAGCTTGATAGTCTTAGGGGCTGATCATCAGTCTTCAGTCTTCCAAATTATGGCCCTTTAACATTTACCATCAGTATACTGCAAGAGAAAAGAAGGCAAAGAATATTGCAAGTTTCTCACCTTTTCTCGAGGCTGTTCTTAAAGGACTCGATGCTCTTCCATCCAGAAGAAATCCCTTGACACAAAAGGTATTCTGGGAAAACAGAAAATAGAAGACAACTGAGGAACTTCCCTAAAATGAAACTCTTTACAGTCTGACTTTTAGTCTTTCCCCGCTACTCGGGCAATTTTCGTTTCGCAATAGAGCTAGGTTTCCGCTGAGTACAGCGCTTGTGGAAAAATACGAGGTCATGAGGAAGGTAGGGCACTCTCAAGAAACAGATCCCTCCGTAGGAGCGCCAAGTTAAAGAAACCGAAATATGGAAACATTTCAGAACATGCGTTGCCGTAATTTCTCACAGAAAACTGTAGTTTTTCCCACGCATAATAATACTCTCCACTCACATCAACGTACTTGAAAAGCAAAGAAGACAAATAACCTAGCCATTCTCACCTTATCTCTTGGCTGGTCCTGCATGACTCGAGGATCTTCCAGAATACATCTCTTGAAACACCATGTACTCTGAGAAAACAGAAAGCGGGAGAAAACTACTGTAGCTCCCACAAAAAAGGCAGTCTTTACACCTCGATTTCTACGCTTTAGCCGCAACTCGCTCAAGTTAACTTGCACTCTCCCTCGAGCCGCAGAATTTAGAGCTAGGTTTTAACGGAGAGCGATGCTTGTGGAAAAATACAAGGTCATACGGTAGGTAGGATACCGGGTATGCTCCAGAAAATGGAATATCTACAGATGTCAGAATGTGCGTCACTACCGTTCTAGTTACAACAGAAGGGATCGTATTTTAGCACGGGATTTTCAGTCTTTGGAAAACTTTCCAATTACACCACGCCCAACCCATCTCTACTTCCTCTTTGGACACTGAAACAAAAACTAACCTTCGTGGTCCGTTAGAGACGCTTCCCTTTGGGTCCTCCGCGGCTGGTCCTCTGCCAGGAAGGTGGGGGGGAAGGGCACGAGTCCTCAGCATCGGCTCTCGGAAAAAGAATTCATACAAAGGCATGGGGTTACTAGTCCAAGGTGGTGTTTCTGGCAACTGTTACCATCAAGCCTAGCCTTCCATGAGTGGACTTTGAAATGTCTACAAGAAAACTGCATCTGCTTTAGCCTCGTAGTAAAGTCTTTGTATTTTACGCAGAGCAGGTCGCGAGCCAAAGCCAACAATCTTCACCTCTTCACGTTCTGCAGGCAGCAGCTTGCTAAATTTAGGTGCTGTCTCTGCCTGCTGTACTGTAGATGCACAACAATTCTATTTCATCAATGACTGCAGCTTGCTGAGATTAGGGGCTTATGCAGTCAATTCCAAAGCAACACAAGATTGGCTTCAAGTTTACTCATAGGCTAGATTATTGGCACTGCCACTTACCATCAATTAAGTCATCATTTCAAAATTTTATAGTTTCAAACCTCTCAAGTTAAGAGAATTCTATTATTCTTTTGCGACATTTTAAACACCCGACAAGCTGTGGAGAAAATTTGCATGCAAATTTCAGCGAAGTTCAAAAACAACGATGGGCCAACTTACATGGCCAGCTCAAACAGGAAAAAGGAGAAATGTTGAACTTCGCAAAGGGAAATGAAACCAACAGTGTCTGAAATACTCACCACGACAGTCATTGCCAGAATACATATTATGTTATTCAATACGTCGACAAGATAACCGCCTATCTTTCACTTGCATAGTGTCAGCTACAGTAGTTCCCATCCACCCCCTCCCCTCCGATCACAGACCAATCTTCATCTACTGCGGTTTTATAGTGGGCAGCAGCTCGCTACTCTTAGGTGCTGTTTCTGCCCACTCTACACATAGCCTATTTCATCAGTGACTGCAGCTTGATAGTCTTAGGGGCTGATCATCAGTCTTCAAAATTATAGCCCTTTAATATTTACCATCAGTTTCACTCATCGCAATGTCAGAAAGATTATTCGTGGGCCTACTGGTCGGCAGCAGCTTGTTTTGTTTAGGTGCTGTCTCTGCCGACTGAAAACTGTGGTATAGCCTATTTCATCAGTGACTGCAGCTTGATAGTCTTAGGGGCTGATCATCAGTCTTCAGTCTTCCAAATTATGGCCCTTTAACATTTACCATCAGTATACTGCAAGAGAAAAGAAGGCAAAGAATATTGCAAGTTTCTCACCTTTTCTCGAGGCTGTTCTTAAAGGACTCGATGCTCTTCCATCCAGAAGAAATCCCTTGACACAAAAGGTATTCTGGGAAAACAGAAAATAGAAGACAACTGAGGAACTTCCCTAAAATGAAACTCTTTACAGTCTGACTTTTAGTCTTTCCCCGCTACTCGGGCAATTTTCGTTTCGCAATAGAGCTAGGTTTCCGCTGAGTACAGCGCTTGTGGAAAAATACGAGGTCATGAGGAAGGTAGGGCACTCTCAAGAAACAGATCCCTCCGTAGGAGCGCCAAGTTAAAGAAACCGAAATATGGAAACATTTCAGAACATGCGTTGCCGTAATTTCTCACAGAAAACTGTAGTTTTTCCCACGCATAATAATACTCTCCACTCACATCAACGTACTTGAAAAGCAAAGAAGACAAATAACCTAGCCATTCTCACCTTATCTCTTGGCTGGTCCTGCATGACTCGAGGATCTTCCAGAATACATCTCTTGAAACACCATGTACTCTGAGAAAACAGAAAGCGGGAGAAAACTACTGTAGCTCCCACAAAAAAGGCAGTCTTTACACCTCGATTTCTACGCTTTAGCCGCAACTCGCTCAAGTTAACTTGCACTCTCCCTCGAGCCGCAGAATTTAGAGCTAGGTTTTAACGGAGAGCGATGCTTGTGGAAAAATACAAGGTCATACGGTAGGTAGGATACCGGGTATGCTCCAGAAAATGGAATATCTACAGATGTCAGAATGTGCGTCACTACCGTTCTAGTTACAACAGAAGGGATCGTATTTTAGCACGGGATTTTCAGTCTTTGGAAAACTTTCCAATTACACCACGCCCAACCCATCTCTACTTCCTCTTTGGACACTGAAACAAAAACTAACCTTCGTGGTCCGTTAGAGACGCTTCCCTTTGGGTCCTCCGCGGCTGGTCCTCTGCCAGGAAGGTGGGGGGGGAGGGCATGAGTCCTCAGCATCGGCTCTCGGAAAAAGAATTCATACAAAGGCATGGGGTTACTAGTCCAAGGTGGTGTTTCTGGCAACTGTTACCATCAAGCCTAGCCTTCCATGAGTGGACTTTGAAATGTCTACAAGAAAACTGCATCTGCTTTAGCCTCGTAGTAAAGTCTTTGTATTTTACGCAGAGCAGGTCGCGAGCCAAAGCCAACAATCTTCACCTCTTCACGTTCTGCAGGCAGCAGCTTGCTAAATTTAGGTGCTGTCTCTGCCTGCTGTACTGTAGATGCACAATTCTATTTCATCAATGACTGCAGCTTGCTGAGATTAGGGGCTTATGCAGTCAATTCCAAAGCAACACAAGATTGGCTTCAAGTTTACTCATAGGCTAGATTATTGGCACTGCCACTTACCATCAATTAAGTCATCATTTCAAAATTTTATAGTTTCAAACCTCTCAAGTTAAGAGAATTCTATTATTCTTTTGCGACATTTTAAACACCCGACAAGCTGTGGAGAAAATTTGCATGCAAATTTCAGCGAAGTTCAAAAACAACGATGGGCCAACTTACATGGCCAGCTCAAACAGGAAAAAGGAGAAATGTTGAACTTCGCAAAGGGAAATGAAACCAACAGTGTCTGAAATACTCACCACGACAGTCATTGCCAGAATACATATTATGTTATTCAATACGTCGACAAGATAACCGCCTATCTTTCACTTGCATAGTGTCAGCTACAGTAGTTCCCATCCACCACCTCCCCTCCGATCACAGACCAATCTTCATCTACTGCGGTTTTATAGTGGGCAGCAGCTCGCTACTCTTAGGTGCTGTTTCTGCCCACTCTACACATAGCCTATTTCATCAGTGACTGCAGCTTGATAGTCTTAGGGGCTGATCATCAGTCTTCAGTCTTCCAAATTATGGCCCTTTAACATTTACCATCAGTATACTGCAAGAGAAAAGAAGGCAAAGAATATTGCAAGTTTCTCACCTTTTCTCTAGGCTGTTCTTAAAGGACTCGATGCTCTTCCATCCAGAAGAAATCCCTTGACACAAGAGGTATTCTGGGAAAACAGAAAATAGAAGACAACTGAGGAACTTCCCTAAAATGAAACTCTTTACAGTCTGACTTTTTACTCGGGCAATTTTCGTTTCGCAATAGAGCTAGGTTTCCGCGGAGTACAGCGCTTGTGGAAAAATACGAGGTCATGAGGAAGGTAGGGCACTCTCAAGAAACGGATCCCTCCGTAGGGGCGCCAAGTTAAAGAAACCGAAATATGGAAACATTTCAGAACATGCGTTGCCGTAATTTCTCACAGAAAACTGTAGTTTTTCCCACGCATAATAATACTCTCCACTCACATCAACGTACTTGAAAAGCAAAGAAGACAAATAACCTAGCCATTTTCACCTTTTCTCTTGGCTGGTCCTGCATGACTCGAGGATCTTCCAGAATACATCTCTTGAAACACCATGTACTCTGAGAAAACAGAAAGCGGGAGAAAACTACTGTAGCTCCCACAAAAAAGGCAGTCTTTACACCTTGATTTCTACGCTTTAGCCGCAACTCGCTCAAGTTAACTTGCACTCTCCCTCGAGCCGCAGAATTTAGAGCTAGGTTTTAACGGAGAGCGATGCTTGTGGAAAAATACAAGGTCATACGGTAGGTAGGATACCGGGTATGCTCCAGAAAATGGAATATCTACAGATGTCAGAATGTGCGTCACTACCGTTCTAGTTACAACAGAAGGGATCGTATTTTAGCACGGGATTTTCAGTCTTTGGAAAACTTTCCAATTACACCACGCCCAACCCATCTCTACTTCCTCTTTGGACACTGAAACAAAAACTAACCTTCGTGGTCCGTTAGAGACGCTTCCCTTTGGGTCCTCCGCGGCTGGTCCTCTGCCAGGAAGGTGGGGGGGAAGGGCACGAGTCCTCAGCATCGGCTCTCGGAAAAAGAATTCATACAAAGGCATGGGGTTACTAGTCCAAGGTGGTGTTTCTGGCAACTGTTACCATCAAGCCTAGCCTTCCATGAGTGGACTTTGAAATGTCTACAAGAAAACTGCATCTGCTTTAGCCTCGTAGTAAAGTCTTTGTATTTTACGCAGAGCAGGTCGCGAGCCAAAGCCAACAATCTTCACCTCTTCACGTTCTGCAGGCAGCAGCTTGCTAAATTTAGGTGCTGTCTCTGCCTGCTGTACTGTAGATGCACAACAATTCTATTTCATCAATGACTGCAGCTTGCTGAGATTAGGGGCTTATGCAGTCAATTCCAAAGCAACACAAGATTGGCTTCAAGTTTACTCATAGGCTAGATTATTGGCACTGCCACTTACCATCAATTAAGTCATCATTTCAAAATTTTATAGTTTCAAACCTCTCAAGTTAAGAGAATTCTATTATTCTTTTGCGACATTTTAAACACCCGACAAGCTGTGGAGAAAATTTGCATGCAAATTTCAGCGAAGTTCAAAAACAACGATGGGCCAACTTACATGGCCAGCTCAAACAGGAAAAAGGAGAAATGTTGAACTTCGCAAAGGGAAATGAAACCAACAGTGTCTGAAATACTCACCACGACAGTCATTGCCAGAATACATATTATGTTATTCAATACGTCGACAAGATAACCGCCTATCTTTCACTTGCATAGTGTCAGCTACAGTAGTTCCCATCCACCCCCTCCCCTCCGATCACAGACCAATCTTCATCTACTGCGGTTTTATAGTGGGCAGCAGCTCGCTACTCTTAGGTGCTGTTTCTGCCCACTCTACACATAGCCTATTTCATCAGTGACTGCAGCTTGATAGTCTTAGGGGCTGATCATCAGTCTTCAAAATTATAGCCCTTTAATATTTACCATCAGTTTCACTCATCGCAATGTCAGAAAGATTATTCGTGGGCCTACTGGTCGGCAGCAGCTTGTTTTGTTTAGGTGCTGTCTCTGCCGACTGAAAACTGTGGTATAGCCTATTTCATCAGTGACTGCAGCTTGATAGTCTTAGGGGCTGATCATCAGTCTTCAGTCTTCCAAATTATGGCCCTTTAACATTTACCATCAGTATACTGCAAGAGAAAAGAAGGCAAAGAATATTGCAAGTTTCTCACCTTTTCTCGAGGCTGTTCTTAAAGGACTCGATGCTCTTCCATCCAGAAGAAATCCCTTGACACAAAAGGTATTCTGGGAAAACAGAAAATAGAAGACAACTGAGGAACTTCCCTAAAATGAAACTCTTTACAGTCTGACTTTTAGTCTTTCCCCGCTACTCGGGCAATTTTCGTTTCGA